CGTTTACATTGGTTTACAACAAAAAAAGAGAGAAAAGAAAAAATATACAAAAAATAAGATAAAATAAAATACAAAATACAAAAATACGAAGTATACCTAAAAATTGCAAAATACAAAAAATATCTTATCTCTTAATAAAAATCTATATCTAGAATGATCACTAGAACATAATTATATTTATGTGCCTGTTAAATGTATTTGTAAAATGTAGAGGGGAGTGAGCGAGAAAGAGAGAGAGCGAAAGAGAGAGAGAGAGAGTGAGAAAGAGAGAGAGGGAGAGAGGGGTAGAGGGAGATGGGGAGAGGGTGAGAGGAGGAGAGGGAGAGAGGGGGAGGGAGAGAGAGTGAGAGATGGAGAGGGAAAGAGATGGCTGGAGAGAGGGAAAGAATGATGACTAGAACATAATTATATGTTTAGTTAAATGTATTTCAGTAGTTTTAGTAGTAGTAGTTTTTTGTTATTTAACATGTGTAAACGTTTTTAAATTGAATTAAGTATAACTACCCTGAAGAAGACGAAATTTATCGTCGAAAGCTCGTGGTTGGTATAACAGTAGAAATGGTTTTTCTCACCAAACCCTAATCCACGTTACTATTATAGAATAAAGACGGGTCGTAGATCGCATATAAGATAATATATACATTTTTCTTTTAGCAATCTTGAAAATAATTAAGCTCTTCTTGATAATTTAGAGTGGAAAATAAAATTGAACGATTAAAGTGAACAGAGTCCTTCTCAGACATGTACTTCTTGAGGCAGATCATAAGATGGGGCAATCTGTGTAGGTAATGTATCCCAAAAATTAACCGGACCGTATCGCGTGATGGAAATATCGTTTTCAGCCGTCCAAACGACAAATAAAAAACAACCCCCGACGCCTTGATTAATCACAACTATCAAGTGGAATAAGAACTTGTTTGCAGTAACGGCATGACGTCATATTATCGTGTAGCCAGATTCGAAACGATTAATTAAAGCCGAGTGGCGAGAGCGAGAGGGAAAAACGGCCAGATTAATTACTTACAAGAGGCTACTGTCAGGAGATCCCAGATCCTGGATCGAACCCCTCCAACAGGTCCATGGATCCGTCCCCCCGCCGCGACCAGCCGAGCCGAGCGACATTCCCAAATTGTTTCTACTCTTTTTATTCAATTATAAATTAAACTAATAGGAAAACGTGCACGGCATGTGATCGCAGCATTTCCAGCATTCCTCACCGATACTCTCATACGTGAGACATGTCATTACAAGTACACGACACCCTGGTCAATTATCATAAGAAATCTTCATTGGGCATTTATTATATAAATATTTGTCTGATAAAAAATTACATATAATGAAAATATAATTATTCACATATATCTACTATGAGGTGTAAAGGCAATCTGTTTTCATTAAATACATTAGACTAACGATTCTAATTCTAATTCGCTCTGAAGGCTCGATTATATACATATCATAGCATAAAAAAGATGACACAACAATTTTATGTTGGTATGTGAAGATAGTGAGATATGTTCTTCCGATTGGATCGAAGTCACAACAGCTCAATTGGTTAGAGCCGCAGCGTATTGAGCCGAAGGTCGTGGGTTCGAATCTCGCTCGTGACACTAACTTTTTCATCTCAACCAAAACCTTAAAGAAGAAGAATAATTAATTGAAAGAATTAATAGGTCAATTCTCACCATTAAACATATATGAATAATATACTGAGACAAATATACATACATAATATACATATATAATATACTGATATATCCATTAGAGTTCGTAGTCCGATTGACCAATTAACTTTTTCAATTAATTAATCTTTATGAAAAGTATTGGTTGAGATAAAAAAAGTCAGTGTCACGAGCGGGATTCGAACCCAGGACCTTCGGCTAAATACCCCACTTTACCACTTGAGCTATCGTGACTTCGATCCACTCGGACACTAACTTCCCGTCTCAACCCACCTTTCGAATTTTCCCTCCTTTTTGCCATTTTTCAAATGTTGTGTAATCTATTCGATTCTCGGCGACAAATGAAATGGCCACGGAGAGCTTTTAGTGAGGATACACTTCAAATCATTTGATAGCTCAAGTGGTTAGAGCAACGGCGTATTGAGCCGAAGGTTGTGGGTTCGAATCTCGCTCGTGACACTAATTTTTCTTCTCAACCAAGAACCTTATTTAAAAAGAATAATTAATTGAAATTATTTAAAAGTTTATTCAATGCATTAATACTTTACTGTCTGTTTTGGAATTTCAATTCTCCGGTTGATGATATAAGAAATTAGCTTTTATTTTAAGTAATACCGAAATTTTCTGAATTAAATAAACAGAAAAGGAGAAGCAAAATTAAATTTCAAACATAAACAAACAAAACTGTGAGTTTAATTCGTTTAACTTTGTCTTTATTATTTTGAGTCACCCGATCCCAGTGGAAATCCCTAAAGACATGCCGAAGAAAGTGTGAAAGAGACAAAAGTTTTTCATTAAACGAAACAATATTTGACAGGAGGCTGACAGCGGAATAAATTGCTGTCAGGATAAAAACAGGACGAAAGGAGGAATGTTTCACCATCAAATAAACTTTTGTCGTATATTTAGGATAAAAAGAACCAATCGGATATGGGAGGAACTTTAGGTCAACGATCGGTCGGGGGTTCGGTTTCGTTTTTGAATTTAAATAGAAAATGGGATAAATAGTTCAACAGTAGAGGGGCAACTCCTGTGCCAACTAGTAATACGATACTGTCTCATGCCAAAGGTTTTGAAATATGTAATGCGACAATTCTCCAACAGGCTAAAAATACAGGGTATCACTTCGTGAGCGATATTTCAAACGCAGGTTTCCCTCCTGTAATATATGGATCTTTCCATGTTTTCGCTCGGCCTCGTGTTTGTCTCAGCAGATATTGTGACAGGACTTCGGATCGGACGTGGGCTGCTTTTGACATTGGGAGTCGCTGCTGAAGCCCAACGATTGGAGAATTAGGCTTTCTGCACAGTATTTTGTCTTTTTTTTCATAGCCGATTATTATGCCAAACGGATTGACAATAAACATATAATACATTGAATTTAATCAAAAAACGATCAAATTTCAGATATACCAACTAGTAATAAAAAGACACTTACAGAAAACACTAAATATTGGTGTGTACAGCGAGCGGTTGGGCTGTCGAGCTCTATTTGCTAAGCTACCACTATCTTTCTTTCTTTCTCTCCACCTTAGCCAAATTGGGCTCTATCAGAGTTCATTTTTTCTTTTATTATTTTTTATTTTTTACGAGCGTTTGCGACAGCGCAGGTTATATAAACCCTCTTACTGCAGGTGTTTTTGAGAAAAAAAATTTGTAAGTAAAATGATAGATCCTACTCAAAGTAAGTTGTTTTTATGATCCGGATTTCGAGCTTATAGCTCATCATCAGGTTGAAGGAGTTCTACAACCTGATGATGAGCTATAAGCTCGAAATCCGGGTATTTGAGAACAATTTACAGTGAGTAGGAACTATCTTTTTAAGAGGATTGAACACCGCATGCACTCTACATTCATCATTTCTACCATTTGTAAATATGTCGGGTTCGAATGCAGGGCCGGTGGATTCGAACCCGGAACCTTTGCCTTAGCCACCGACCATCAGAGCTTATTCTCGGCCATGTTCTGCCTAGCAATCGCACCTTTCTCTTACCGGATCTTCATCACGAAGTTGTCCGGGATGGGCCACTCGAAGGCGTCCGGTCGGGATAAAGAGAGGACAGTTATGTTTCATTTAAGTGGGTTTATCATAATCTTTGGGTTTGAATTCACGGGCCCGAGGCTTTTTAATTGGAGAAAGTACGAAAAATAATTTATTAGCCGGGGTTTTTGGTGTCCCTGAGGAGGTCCTATGTTAAGGGTGTGGCTTATTGTCCAATCCGTGTGGATGAACCGGATGTTGATTCTGTGGGAGTTGGTAGACTCGGTACCGAGCGAAGAGACTCGTAAGGCAAGCAGTCACGTCAACCGTCGAGAGTGCGAGAGATGATGTTGCAAATACTCTTGTTGCTGTAGCTAGTGCAGACAGAGTCACCATTAGTGAGAGTTGTGATCTTGAAGACGAGATTGAAACATAAGTTTAAGCCCCTACATACAGAGCTGCTGAGACCGTTGTTAGAGCTAGTGGATAACTTCTTAACGACAGGTGGTCTCTACAATGTTGTAAATTGGTTAGACCCCTCGACAGACCTGAATGACATGAATTATTTTTACTCTTTATTCTATATATCCATGCTAAATTGAGAATTATGTTTACGTCAAGTGCATCTACATTAACTTTTATTCTTGAGCAAGCAGCGAGTATATGGATCTCTTCCCGATTCTTGGAGGAAACAGGGGTGTTTTATTGTATATAGCTTTATGTGCCTAGCATGTATTGAGAGTGAATGTATTCATTAGCGCGACCGTGTTTTGTGTGAGGGCCAATGGCGGAATATTGAAAACCTATCCACGCTCAAATAGGTTAGTTTATAAAATGTGTATAGGGTGATGGAGGAATATAGAGCACTCCACCACCGTAATTAAAGTAATGGTATGTAAATAGGAGAGAATGTATTTAAAATGGAAGAATTGATATGGAACTCAAATGTTTGGGATGCTGAATTAATCTAGTTTATTAATTACAACATCCCGGGCCCAACCTTGACTACGGCTACCCCCGGACGTCTAAGTCCAACACCTGAGATGGTTGATTCTCGAGGCCTGATACGATGTTTTCTTTCTCCAAGGTTGAATTTCCACGTCGCCACGATACTTTTCACATGCTGCCACTGAGTCGGTGTTAAGGAAATTTAAGATTTTGTTTGTAAAAAAACAAAAATTTGTCAACCTGTGGACATATGCAAAGTTGTTTTGACCTGATAATGACCTTAAAATAGGTCGAAAGCTTGGCAGTAAGAACTGAATTTGCTTTCTTTTTCAATACCCTATCTTAATCCATAGTGTTCGAGAATGAAAAAATGGTCTATATTTGTAATATTGAAAACGGTTATTTATGGCAATTCACTCTGTCAGGTTGATTCAACTTCTTGTCACGTTGTGGCAGTTTTTGATTGAAATATCCGTCAATGTGATTTTATGTTTGTGAATTGTGGCAGGTCGCTCATGAAAAAGTGATATTGTTGGTCTTAAGATGTTGCATAGAGATTCTCTTGCTTTGAATCATTTCACATCTGCTGAACTCTTCTCCTTATTACATCGATAGCTAAAATTAAATCAAGTGTAGCTTGGAAAGCATAATTGAACAGTTAGACATGATTCTTATGATTATCATAGAAAAAATTGGGTTTTTGATGTTTCTATTATACTATTAGTTTTCTAGGACTTAAATAAAGATAATTTATGAATAACTATCATTCACTACGAAGAACAGTGATAAACATATTGATAATCTCGTTTTACCCCAATATATAGAACATTTAACCATAAACATTTAAAACTTCCCGAACCAAGAAATTTTGATTTCAAAAGGCTTTCTTTGTACTTAGGCCCTTAGGTTTTAAAATTACCTTCGTTTTATCTTATTATTTTGGAATATTCAAAACACAATGTGACCGGGTTAAGAGTTGGTTTGGACGCGGCTCCAGTGGTAGTTTATGTTTTGCTAAACATTAGGAGGAAAGCCCTCCCACGGATAACAACATTACTCAAGTTTCGGCCAACTTTACGGCACTTAGCTTACGAGTTTGCTCGAGACCGGCAGACCCCAATCGGAAAACTGCCGAACCGCCTTTTCTTTATTTCACTAAACCCAGGCGAACTCGCCAGATAACAACCGCTTTCAACCGGGCTTTTTGTTGTGAAAAGTACAGGAGTGTCGATATGCATATGACCGTCATTTAACTCGGTAGCGAAAAGCGGTAGAAAAAACAACGGACAAATTGTGGAACTACGATAAAAATCTTTCTTGGGCAAATATCGGTTTGAATTTACAGCACGTTGATCAGGTACTGATGGAACTTACAGGTTTGTACTTACTTTAACGCAGCGATACATTGAAGGTAAGATATTTAATCAAGATACAAACTCTATTTTAGGCCTAAAAAGGTGAAGAGTGGAAGCTGATAGTAAATGGTGCAGAATAGCACCAAACTAGAAAAAAATGAAGAAAAACAATGGACTATACAGTTGTAATTGAATGCACTGGAACAAACTAAACCAGGTGTTCGCAAACTTTTTAGCCAGCAGACCTCTTTCACAGAACAAATCCAGGGGAGGACCCTTCGCATTTAATATTTAAGTAGTAATTTAAGTGAGGATTTAAAATTAGAAATTTATAGTATATGTAGTGAATTAAAGTCCATTCCAGGTGATGGAGAGAGATAACCCTATGAAAACAAACATTAGGTTGACATACTTAACTTATCGTATAAAATTCGGAACATAAAAATCAAATTGGACAAAACAATCAATAGATATGTAAAACTCGAGCCAATTTCAAAAGCAATACTCTGAACTTTAATGATTTATGAATTAATAGGAAGAGTGAGGTCTATTGCCATACTGTTATATCTTTTAGCGTAGAAGTGAATATTTTCCTCTTTTGAAGAAAATTGAAAAGACAGAAAAGTGGTATGTATATGAATAAATCAAAAGAACATTTATTAAACAAAAATAATTCTGATATGGAAATATCAACCAAACTTTGGTGTAATATTATCAATTTGAAATTAAAAATTTTGTTGGTGAAAAAGAAAACTGACTAATTATTAATAATATTTATACATTGGAACACAAAATAAAATGTAATAATAGCAACAAAAAGAAACAAAGTTGACCCTGTATTTATGGAAAATAAGTTATTAAAAGGAAGGTATTCCTTACATTAGTAAAAAATGAAACAAAGAAACTGCAAAACGAACTTAGTACTAATTTACAAAAAATGAAATATTCAACTTGAATGTTGAAATTGAAAATAATTCTATTAGAGTTCGTGTTCCGATTGACCCGAATAACGTTTTTCAAGTAATAATTCAATTTCAATTAATAAAAAAGTCAATGTCACGAGCGGGATTCGAACCTACGACCATCGGCTAAATACGCCGCTGCTCTACCACTTGATCTATCGTGACTTCGATCCACTCGGACGCTAACTTCCCATCTCAACCCCACCTTTTGAATTTTCCCTCCTTTTTGCCATTAGTGTCCGAGTGCATCGAAGTTACGATAGCTCAAGTGGTTAAAGAAGAGGTATATTTAACCGAGGGTCGTGGGTTCGAATCCCGTTCGTGACATTGACATTTTTTTCTAAATCAATACCTTACATAAAGATTAATTAATTGAAAATAATGTGGAAGTCCTTCTCGCTTGATGAAAGTGGAGTCATTTTCAGATCAACTCCTTTTTTTGCCAAAGAAAATGTGACAGTTCACCAAAAACATGTAGCTTTCAGCTCAGCTCTAACCCAACAGGGCTCTTCCAGTGGAAGTCTCCTTCCACCTACCTACATTGTGGCCTGTGGAAGCGCTTTGGGATTTGGTGGCTATATAAATAGAAAATCCGGATTCGCATAGGTAAGTTGTGGCAATTTTGGTAAGTTTTGCTCTTTCAGCGAGCGGTTGAAATGTTTTGTTATCCAGACGGCGCCAAAAATGAAGGTCAAATCTGACTCGAAAATAGATTTTAAGTGTGTGGTGATTAGTGACCGTTAATCGATATTTATTTAGAAATCGTGAGATGCGGTCTGGTGTGATGTAGGTTTCAGAAAAACATTTTCTTTATCGTGCCAACGTTTCGATCTTTATTGAGATCATCTTCAGGGCCTGGGATTTACAAACATTGTTTACATATAACAATTATCAACACATCCAAAATGTAATTGTTATATGTAAACAATGTTTGTAAATCCCAGGCCCTGAAGATGATCTCAATAAAGATCGAAACGTTGGCACGATAAAGAAATGGTTTTTCTGAAACCTACATCACACCAGACCGCATCTCACGATTTCTAAATAAATAAATTTTAAGGTGGAGTCTGAAGTAATGTTCATCAAACATTCGTATTCAGTTTATAGACTGGTTGGCTTCGGAGAAATTGAAAACGGTTCGACCTTCCATCATGGTCTTCCAGCATTGTATGACCAGCTGTTGGGTAGTAGTGCTCAGAGGGTATCTTCCAACGTCGAAGGTGTCCAAGTATTTCATCAACCAATGCCGTTCGCGAGCTCCAGTTTGTTTCCTTTAAAAAAATTATTTAACACAGGAAAAGACTCCATTTCTTCCTTCTCGATTCAACCCAAAACTGGAATTTCCTTTTCTAGACGTCAATTTAGCCATTAACAATGAAAGATGTAATACTCTTCCCTTGTAAGATCACGGGATATTACTTTATATGCCAAGCTGAGACAGAAAAACATCGTGAAGAAAGGCATAGGTTTAGGTATAAACAAGTAAGGTTGATAGGACGCGGCTCCAACCTTACTATAAAATAAAGTTTTATTTAGAAACAAATCCTAAAGCTTATGTGGAAATATGGTATTCAACCTTAGGGTTTCAAACACAGCAATGCCAAAATTATACAACCTATCACAATAAAATCTTACGTAGCATCGTGCATTCTCCTTGGTAAGTAATTAAAACTTACATTGGGGTCTTGAGATCCGTGAAGTCATCTCGGAATACAAAGGTTTGCCGCAAAACTTCAGAATGGCTTTAGCCAACACGAGCATGTGGAAGCAACCAAACTCCAACACAACAGACACACTGGGTAGGTCGAAAATTACAAAGCCATATGAACTAGTGCATTTAATACTTACAGTTAATACTTACAACCCTTTGCGGGGTTTTCTTCTTTTTCTGGTCATTCACGAGCATCTTGTTTTAAAGTGGAGCCAACTGATCGTCTAAATCTGGTTGCTGAGACTCTTTGCTTTTATATATGTTATCCTAAAATGTTATCCGCTCGTTTGTATTATAGGTTGTCAACTATAGAATAGGCACAAAACATACATGTCTGGTCACATTCACTCCTCCAGAGTACTCGATATTCCTCGTGACCCATTCCCTTCTCACTAATAACTTACTTTTGGGGCATCGATGACCGCAACGGTTTAGGCGTTGACACGGCGCTCATCACTGTAAGGTAAAGGTCCCGGGTTCGAATCCAGCATCCGAACTCGACGTACTTACAAATGGGATTTTTTTCAAAAACACAAGCATCCTGAGGGTTGATATGACCTCTGTTGTTGCGAAACCTCGTAAAAAAAGGAAAACAAACTTACTTTTAGCCTGGAGACATCACACACTCACCCCAGAGTACAAGATATTCCTCGGGGCGGAAATGTAGTCAATAATTTTGGGAATAGAAAATTGTAAATATTATTGTACGAATGGGTTTATAAAAATATCTTAATGTTTTATATTATACACCTGATAATTAACATATTTTACCTTTTATATAAAACGCAAACATTTTTTTTTTCCAACTCATTTATAAACATACATTTAAAATCTTTCGCCTAAGTCTCTCAGTATTTACCGAAAGTCCTAGGGTTTTTCTCTTCGCGCTTTGCATACAACTTAGCTCGGTGGGAGGGGACGGCAGGGGCTCCTTGCAGCTCTGACAAATCTTCAGGGCTAAGAAGAAGGCATGATGTGAATTTGGTAGCCGAGCCGAGACTATTTGTCAAACGAATCTCGGCATAAAACCGAATTACATCCACATCCCGGATTCGGGCTAAATATTCAACGTGTGACGCTTCCTCCGTAACTAGAATATAAATGACTCCGACGCTAATTTTCAACCCCTGGAAAACCGTACGTTACACGACAACAATCGCACATACCCTTAGAATCTTAGGAAGTACATGGGCGCTACCTTCAAATAGTCAAAACTGACAATTAGCGTGAGAATTAAATTTCAGTGAGTTTGTTTCTTGATAATTGTTGAATATTAAAACAAAACCAGGAGGAACATAGAACCTTTATGTGGACCTGTTAAAGATTTTTTCTGTAAAGGAATATCGCTTTGCGACATACGACAGAAAAGTACAACGTTAATACTTCGCTCTTCTCTAACACTGATCAGCATAGTTTCACCAACATAAATATCATTGTGTGATATTTATAATCATTACTTAATGATTATTTAGAGGTCGTGAGATGCGATCTGGTGTGACGTAGGTTTTAGAAAAGCATTTTTTTTTAATCGTGCCAACGTTTCGATCTTTAATGAGATCATCTTCAGGGCTCAAAGTTTTTGTTTTCCGTGTAGATGTGTCATTCTTGTCAGTCGTGTTGAGAGTGACTCCATAAGAATTATACATCTACGCGGAAAGCAAACACTTTGAGCCCTGAAGATGATCTCAATAAAGATCGAAACGTTGGCACGATAAAGAAAATGTTTTTCTAAAACCTATGTCACACCACACCACATCTCACGATCTCCAAATAACGATAAATATCATTTTTTGTCTTTTATTTCATTTCGGAATTCTTCACATTTTTGCAATCATTTAAAATTACCGCCAGTTGGCTTGCATAACAAAGAACGTTTCTTTTTCCCTACCCCGCGACTTTGCAAGCCCCCGTTAAAAGGTCTAGACAATGGAACGTGAGATCGCGAGTAAATAAATAATTGAAAGCCGGCCTCCTCTGTCATAGCGATGGTGACTTTGATTTGTGACTTAGGTGAACAATGGAGAGCCACCTGTAGTCGCACTATCCATCTAAGTCGCGGTAAGTCCCAGTTCTCAGGAGTGGAAGGGGGTAATCGCCCGGTAATAACCTGTATAAATATTTCCGCCACCGGAATACTGACGCTTTGGTTTTTTTCATATAACGAAAATAATGAATCAAGCTTAAATGAAAAAAGTAACAAAAAATCACGTCAAATGAACCTCAACTAAAATATATCTAAATTTTTTTAAAATGATTTTAACTTAATTTTGTGGTAAAAATGTTTTCAATCTGGAATGTTGGTTTTTTTTAACTAAACACATCATTTATTTTGTCACCATTTAATTGCTAATGCATTTCGGGCTATGTCCCTGATCTCTCTTCAGAAATGCAATATTTCATTATAAGAAATAAACAATTCTTTTTATCAATACACTAAAAAATCTTTCTTTGTGTGGATACCTCACAATTTAGCTAAATAGAACTCACCGGTTAGCATGGATACAAAGGTTAAAAACAAGGAAGTCTGATTACTTATCATGAGATATCAACGTTACACAAACTGTAAAAATGTTGGTGAAAATTAATTTTATTATGCTAAGTATTTACAGCCATGAATACATTTTTATTACAGTTGGATATATAGAATAAATGCCATAAATAAAAGTTTAAAATTACGATACACAAAAACAAAAAATACTCAACCATTTCATAAAATGAAAAAAACAGTAAATAACAAATATAAAATCAATAACTAAATTTAAAATTTTCTACAATCTACAATTTTCCATCATTGTATCAATTCATATTTTTTCTAGCATTGTATAAATTCATTCTTTTTTTAAATCTAAAATTTTCTATCATTGTATAAATTTTTTTTTAGAATTGTATAAATACATTCTTTTTTAAATCTAAAATTTTCTATCATAAAAACATCACTATTGGATTTCACCAAGCTTTCGGCGAATGTTCCGCCATCTTCAGGACCTAATTTATTGAAAACAAATTTACATTAACAGAGTTACATAAAACATCATATACCCATACATTATAAGAATAAAATTACGTACTTTACCCAGTTTTTTTTAAACAATTAAATTTATTGCACATGTTTGTTGTTTTTTTAAAAATGAAGGTGGAAATGAATCTACATACTGAAATAAAAATAAAAAATAAAATAGTCTTGCTTAAAATCTAGTGACACTCATCGGTCCATCCTTTGGTCCCACCTCTTTCATAAGTTCGCTATTTTCGTGGTCCGCTTGACCAAGTAATACTTTACAATTAATTAAGGTTTTTAGTTGAGATGAAAAAAAAAGTCCTCTGTTATTTTTTAAAGTAATTAATTTTTAGAGTAATACATTTTTTACATTACTTAAATTTTTTATGATAACACAAATCTGTCCATACAAACCTACGTCTAATATAGTTAGTGAAATTGATTTTTTTGCTGAAGAAAATGATGTAAAAATAAAGATTTCAATGTCTGATCACTTGTATCTTGTTTTTTGTATATATCAACAATAAAATTCTGATCATCCGTCCTCATTATTAATAAACGTAGAAATGAGATATTTTTATTATATTCGAAATAAAGAGTGAATTTAATTTTTGTGTGGACATTAATTAATGCAGGAAATTCCTTGTTATCATTATATATATNAGTTATATATATATATATATATTTAGTAGAGAGAGAGAGGGCGAGTGAGTGAGGGTGAGGGAGTGCGAGTGGGAGTGGGAGATGGAGAGGGAGAGGGAGAGGGAAGGAGAGATCGAAACAAGAAAGAAGAGAGAGAAAAAAGAGTGAAAGATGTTATATAGAGAAAAAGAAAAACTAATACACCAGCCGGGCAAAAGAAAACAGAAGTGAAAACACGAATGTAGAAATATAAGTAATTTTTTGAAAACTTTCATGTGGGATTTTACTAAATAATGAGGCAAACGAGGTGCAACAGAGAAGAAAGAAAAAATAGAAACAAAAGAAAATGAAGAAGAAGGAGAGAGAGAGAGCGAGAAAACGAAAGTTATGCACAACGAGATAGAGACAGGGAGAGAGACAAAGAAAGACCAGAAGTGAGAGAGAGCATGAGAAAGAGAAAGAGCGAGAAAGGAGAGAAAATGAGAGAGAGAAAGAGAGAGAGAGAGAAAGACAGACAGACATACAGACATACAGAGAGAAAGCTACCGGAATAGGTAGAAAGATAGGGGCGTCGGTGGCCGCAACGGTTTAGGCGTTGACACGGCGCTCATCACTGTAAGGTGAAGGTCCTGGGTTCGAATCCAGCGGCCCTGCATTCGAACCCAACGTACTTACAAATGGGCTTCTTTTCAAAAACACCGGCACCCCGAGGGTTGATATAACCTCTGATGTTGCGAACCCTCGTAAAAAAAAAAAAAAAAAAAAAAAAAAAAAGGTAGAAAGATTGACAAATCGAAAGACTTGTATATACAATAAATAATTAGATAGATGAATAGACAGAAAGATTGATTGATAGATAGACAGATAGAAAAAATATATATATATTATTTTTTTGTTAATTGATCGATTAATTGATGGGTGGATAGATATATACACAGGAATAACCTTACTTATACGTTCTCTCTATGCCCAATATACTTTCCATATACGTTCATCCGTTCCGTAACCATTGATGTACAGAGTGTACCTTCTATCTAGAATGCTGTCCTCTATTCCCACTATTTTTTTCTATAATATTATCTATATTATCATTCTTGGAACATTATGTACTCTCTTTCGAGATTCATTTCCAGATCATGCCTGTTCCATATTATTATCTTTCGGGTGTTAATAGTTCCTTCTTTTATCATTTCTCCATGTGTTCATCAGAGTGATGACGTGTAATTAAGTCGTGATCGACCATTTTATTCGGCCTAACGTCGCTGTGCTGATCTGTCATATTTGGTGTCCGATTGTGAAGTACATTTTCTTTTATAAAGTTTATAATAATTAACAAAAAGGACCGTCGTGACGTCATGCCATGGTACATGTTTGACACAGGAATACAGCACAAGATACAAGCAGCTCGTTGTCCAGAGATATTCTATCCTGTAATACTCTTACCATGTACCTTATTCTGATCTTGATCCACTGGCGTACCAGCCATGGAACGATAGTGCTATCCACGATTCCCAGTTTATTTGGTTCTCAGACTATTTCAGTTATTTCATTTAAATTCAAACGGATGGCAATGACTTTTCCATGTTATTATCTTTTGGGTGTTAATATATCCACCTTGTGAGATTTTTCCATGTCTTCGCGGGTCAAAGAACGTATAATTTGGTCGTTACCAATCATTTTGGTCTTCGTATTCTCGTTTCATTAAGTTTCTTTTGCAAAGACAGACGAACAAGCTTCGATAGGAAGATTAAAAGGTAACGTCCAATTTATTTCCTTATTGCCAGCTGCTGCCTTGATCTCATCCCATCCATAGTTTTACATTTTTCTTTAGTGATTTTCTCAGTCTGTAACATCATTAGTAAGAATCACCATCAGATTCATTATACAGGAATTTAGTTAGTCTTATGTCCTACAGGTTAGCCGTTTGCATAAACCATTAGTTTTTATTATTTTCTATCGTGTCTGTTTTTAGATGTCTCCAGTATTTTTTTTCTGTCAGATCAAAGCAAGTTATCAATCTTTCGGTAGTCTGATAAGTTTATTTATGTAGTTTTTTAGC